TAATTTATCTACTGTAGTGGTATGTATTATTGAATTTATCTTGATCCACCTGAGATTATTCTCAGTTATATTACATTTTGTAGAAACCTGTGAGCGAAACAAATTATTTATATGAACTCGAAAAAACTACACAAGATATTATTAATGCAGTTTTGAATGCGCAAAAACATGACGCTGGGATTGGTTCTGTTACTATTCCCAACACAACTCAAACTATATCCTTTTAATGGTTTTTTTTTTCACTTTATTAAACAGATTTCACATTTTATGGATGGTTCTTTAATGACTAGTAAATATTCTTTTTAGTACATTAAGCTTCCTTCGCGTACATTAACACTTTCTGAGCTAAGGCGGTTAAGAAGGCAGTTCACCAACATTAACAAGATGCATACGTTATTAGATATGGATCGAGTAGCAGAGTTGTTTGTCGAATATCTCAATACGAACATCAATCGATAATGGTAATTTGGTTTTTTATTTAAAAAAATTTTTTTTCCTAGATGTTACATTTTAGATTTTTAGCTCTTCAGTTTAATCATTACAAAAATATTTATTACTATAATATATTATGATAAAAGTAATCTCCAAATGAAAGTTCCATAGAACCAAATCGAAAATTTCTGATAACAAATTTTACGTACATCATATAATAATCTGTAATATTCGAGATTTTCTAACGCCAATATTTAACGAAGATCATTATATAATTTCGATATGATAATGTTGCCAAACAAAACTTTATACGTTTATTTTGTAACTTTAGACTTATAAAATCTATTAGGCAAAATAGCTTCAATTTTGAAAAATATATACTACATGTGATACTCGGTTTAACAAAGTTTATAAAGTGATTTATTCTTTAAGATGCGTCAACTCAATGATTATTTTTCGCTGTGCGCGGCAACAAAAACAAAATTTTGCGCACATTTTCTTTTGAACAGATGTGCAAAAAAAATTAACATTTTGTAAGTAGTGCGCGCACTTGTAAATAGTTTTTTTTTTATTTGCCGCACAGAAAAGTTCCAATTGTGCGGTGTTCGCACAGTAAATTTTAATTGAAAAATTAACACTGCGTCAACTTCTCGCTATATAATTTGCTGTGTTTGCTTAAAAGCCATGCGTTTTCTATTTAATGATCTGCGGTTCGCTGTATTATGACTCGAGCCTAAATTAGTGATTAGTAATAATAGATATATTCGAATATAACATAAAAAAAAATTTAGTAAAAGCGTTTTCAATTACTTATCTTCGAAAATTTATAATATATAATAGTTTGGTATTTATTTCAACTTTTTTTTTTTTTTTTTTTTGTTAACCCAGAGGAAACCTTCAAAAGGCAACTAGGAGTGTTGCCCCCTAGATAGTGTGAGATTTTTACTCACTAAAACCTCTGGAGTGAATGTTCCCGCAAAGTATAACCTGGCTTATAAAGCAGAAACATTCACAACGAAAAAAAGACCCTGACAAGATTTAATAGTTTTAAAAAAGCAAATGCGAATACTTACACTCGTCAGGGTCAAAGGGGCCTTGCCAGGGAGGGGTGAATCTGAGTCACGAAGACCAGATAATTTATAAATACTTACCATGAAAGAAACCCAAAGTAGGGAATCTTTCAAAAACGAAGGTTAAATAGGCGTAGCAACTGAACACAAGTGTGAACAGAACGAAACACTTATCTTAATCGTTTTCGAAAAAACTTTTTGCGTATAGGAAACTTCTTGACGTACGAAAGTCTACTTAGAAAATAAAAAATAAAACGCGTAAATAACGAGTATGCAAAAAATTTTAGATCGAAAATACAAATAATATCGCGTTGTGAACAAAAAAATAAGGAAAAACGTGTGTTTATTCTTTTATCAATGTAATATAACTGAGAATAATCTCAGGTGGATCAAGATAAATTCAATAATACATACCACTACAGTAGATAAATTA